AGACGCCCCCCCCCCGCGTGATCAAGACCCACTTGCCCATCCAGCTGGTGCCCAAGTCCTTCTGGGACAACGACTGCAAGGTAAAGAGGGGTCCTGTCCCTCAGCCCCTCGCCCCTGGCCGTGCCCTCGCCCCCGCCCCGCAGCCCCCACGCCTCCTGTCCCGCAGGTGATCTACGTGGCCCGTAACCCCAAGGACACCGTCGTCTCGTACTACTTCTTCGACCAGAAGAACAAGACGCAGCCCGAGCCGGGGCCCTGGCCCACCTACCTCCAGCGGTTCATGCGCGGAGAACGTGAGTCCCCTCCAGCCCCGTTATACAGGCAGGGCAGCGCGGCCCCCCCGCTGCCGCCCGCGCCTGGCCCTGCGCCCGAGCCGAGCGCGGGAACTGCAAAGGAGGCTGGGTAACGCCAAGCCCGGGCGGAGAGCGCAAGGGGTTCTGGGTAACACAAAGCCGATGTGAAAGTGCAAAGGCTTCTGGGTAACGCCCTTCTCTTACCCCTCCGCCCCAGTGGCCTGGGGGTCGTGGTACGACCACGTCTGCGGGTACTGGGCGGCGCGGGAGAAGCACCGGATCCTCTACGTCTTCTACGAGGACATGAAGGAGGTGAGGGCGGCAGGCGTGCCCTGCCAGCAAACCCCCGCGGGTATGCCGGCGCCAGGGGGGGCAGCAGAGGGCCCAAACCCCTAAGGCTGGGGTGTCTTGCACAGGCGGGTGAGTAATCGCATGCCAGCAGCAGTGGGGACCACAGGGCAGGGCAGGGCGGAGCAGTTTGCAGCAGCAGGGCTGACACCCACTCCCCACAGGACCCCGGGCGTGAGGTGCAGCAGGTGGCGTCGTTCCTGGGGGCAGCGCTGTCGCCCGAGGCCCTGGCCCGCGTGATCCAGCTGTCCTCCTTCACAGCCATGCAGGACAACCCCATGGCCAACTACAGCAGCGTGCCCCGCGCCCTGTTCGACCCAACCATCAGCCCCTTCCTGCGCCGCGGTGAGTCGTGCCGCGCAGGCCAGGGGAGGCGGGCACTGAGCGGAGGGGCGAGGGCCTGAGTAATCGGCTGGAGGGGGATGCCGAGGATGGTGGACAATTGGCCAGAGGGGGCAAGTGACGGTGGTAATTGGCCCATGGAGAAGCATGGCACTGTGGGTAGCTGCCGGGGGCGGGGGGGGGGGGTTTTGCATCAGGCTGGCCAAAGTGGTTCTCCCCAATGCAAGGGATCCTGGGTAATGCCCCCTGTGGGGTGGGGAAGGGGATCGTGATCCCCACCAGTCACCTGCAATAATGCCACCCCCCTTAACAAAGGATTCTGGGTAATTGCACCCCCAGCTTCTACCCCTGCACCATCCCCTGCTTGAGCCTGAGCAGAGGATTCTGGGTAACAGCAATCCCCCACGAATGGGGCATCTGTGTCCCCTGCCATGACCCCCCAGTTCTCTGCCCCCCAGGAGAGGTCGGTGACTGGAAGAATCACTTCACGGTGGCGCAGAACGAGGCCTTTGACGCCCACTACCAAAACCGCATGGCCAGCCCCGGCGTTCCCCACTTCCGCAGCCAGGTCTGAGCCCCTGGGACCCTGCCCCCAATAAACACCTTTGCCGACACACGGCCTCTGCGCCCCGCACCAGGGCGGGGAGAGGGCAGACAGCGCACCCCAGCGGCCAGGACTCCCGCACAAGTCGCCCCGCTTCGCTGGGGTGTGGGGAGCCCAAAATGGGGAACCCAGGGGTCTGGGAGATCCTCACCACAAACCCAGGTGTCTGCGAGACACCCAGAGACCCCGGGTGTCCGGGAGTCCATCCAGCCCCCCAGTGGATAAATGTTCACCCCTGTGGCGATCAGTTCCCCAAAATCCCCTGCCCTGTAGCCCAGAGCAGAGAGACCCGGGGAAGCAGCGCGGACACACGGGGCATTTATTCTGTGGGAACTGGAGCCGTAGCCACAGTGGCTTGAAGTGGGGGTGGGGAGTAGAGCCGTGGGAAGCACCTTGGACGCCGGGGTCCCACCTTCTCCCCCCCACCGCAAAGGTTTTTGAGTGGAGCAAAGGACTCTGGGAAATTCTCAGGCTTCTACGTCAGCAAAGTGGCGTCATGAGGTGGGGCAGGGGGGCAATAAATTAACGCCGGGGTGACGGGGTCCTGGGGGCAGGGGCCCTTGTAGCCTCCTGCAACAGAGATACAGGAGAGAAGGGGTTAACAGTGTGCGTGGGGGATAGGGGCGTGGGGCACTGGTCTGGGGGTCCCCCGGTCTCACCCCTATGGGCTGGGGCAGAGAACGAGGTGCATGGTTTCAGGGGGCGATGGTTACTGGGGGCAGTTCTGGGGTGCAGGGCATTTGGCGCCCCCCAGTCCCAGCCCTGTGGGGCCGGAGGCAGGAACAAGGTGCAGGGTTTCAGCATGCAGTGGCTCCTAGGGGCAGTTTTGGGGTACAGGGAGCTTGGGGTCCCCTGGACTCAGTGCTGCAGGTCCCGCCACCGGGAGGGGAAGCAGGGTTCGGGGCCCGGGGTGCCCTGTTCTTGGGGTTCACCTGGTCTCAGCGCTGCAGGTTCTCGTAGTCGGGCCCATCCTCCTCGCTCTCACGGTCGCTGGAGCCTGCAGGACCCAGACCCGGGGCCGTGAAACAGGGCTGGGAGCCCCCAACAGCCCCTCAACTGTGAGGCAAGGCCCAGGGGATCTCATAGCGCCCTCCCCACCATGGGACAGGGGTTAGGGGGTCTCCCAGGCACCCGGGTTCTCCCATTGCTGGGGGCACAGGGGCATCACTCACCGTATTGGGGTTCGGGGGCCCCCGGCTCAGGCATATTCACGTACTCCAGGCTGTCAGCTGCTGGGGGGGCACAGGGGTGAGAAGGGGCCTGGGGGGCAGCCCCCCCAGGACAGACAGACACAAACACCCCAGGACAGACTTACCCAGAGACTCCCGCGTCTGTGGCTC